AAGTTCCAGCTATAAAGTTAAGCATACCAAGGGTCATTGTGCTGCTGGAATGCTTCAAGAAGTTTGACATAAACAAACACTCAGCCTTAAGATCAGGCCTCACTAAACCTTAGAGGTCTGTTTCCAGGCCTTTAGAAATACCACCTCTAAAGGGGAATTTAAATTCAACGTGTCTCTTGGATAGCCAGTGCAGACAACTAAATGTTCCCAGGCTAGAAATGCACCTCATGAAAAACAAGCTGATGTTCCAAAGAACAGTCCTTAGGTGGGAAGAAAAGGAGGCATTTTTGCTCTTTACCAAGGTTCCCAAAATCCTGAGCAGCTGGCAAATCAGCAGAAGACCTTCTTACAGACCTCAAATCCCCTCCTGCTTTCACACAGAAGCATTCCAATACTTGGAGCTGTGGAATTTTTATTTTTATTTTGTTAATTTGAAATTAAGTTAACTCCTATGAAAACATTTTCTGTGAGTTTTCATCCTGATAAAGAGTGATTACACACAACTACCTGACCATCACTACTCCTGGCCATCTGATATCAAGTTGAAATAATTTAAAAAATTGCAGAGACTTAACATATAGGAAATGTAAAAAATGTATTAAAAAATTAGGTTTAGACTGCTCTGGTTAAAGGCTGTGGTTAAATGATGACCATTCTCAACAACATATAGTGGCAAATGCCTGCTCGGTTTCTCTCCATTTTTAACTGGTCTAAGTACTTCTAAATCACTTTCAATAAGATACTGTAACTGTATTTCAGCACATCTGATGCATTAACACAGATATTTAAGAATCAAATTTATAGCAGCACACACCCTGATAAAGACTTCAAATCTAATCACAGCAGAGCACTGGAGTAGAGGCAAAAGAGGCCATTGGAACTTCACGGAATAAACAGCATTTTCCCCAGGTTTTCCAGCATTGAAAGCAAATGAAGCAACAAGCTGATTAGAGGAGTTTTTATGGGGAGTTAATTTCTTTCATATGAAACTCATTTAACAACTTGCTGACTCAAAACAGTTCCCAAAAGCCTGTCTCACCCAGGTGTGCCATCTCTGTCAGGTTTGAATGGCTTGGTGAGGGCACTGGTGTGGCAGCTGCCAAGAAACAGGGCTGGAATTTCTCTTGTTGAAAATGTCTCCTGTGTTCTCCTTAGGTCACTGAATCTCAGCAGCCCTCTGGGGTCACCTTGGGTGCCTGAAGCCCAGGGTTAGCCAAAGCTGCAGAAAGTGCAGCTCCCATGCACTCATGATAAACAACAACCACAGTAACCTTAACACCCCTCTACAACATCTGCTGTCTCCATCCAAATGGTGGCAACTGAACAGAAATCTAAAGTATTTTAGATCTCTTCAAATAAGTATAACCTTCTAATCAGAAATATTATAACACCCCACAGCAGCAAGACAAGAAAACCACATTCTGACACATATCCTATCTCCTGAAATGACCCTTGTAGAGAACAAGCCAGGCCTCCCTGGGCTCCCGCAGCCCAGTAAATCCTGTCCCCACTGGCTCGGCCGTGGTTTTAATCTCAATCTGTCAGCACAGAGGCACCTCCCTGCACACTTAGAGTAATATTCTGATAAATCTGATGCTGCTGGTACACTGTGAGCAGCCTTACATAAACAACAGCTCTGGAATCCATGGATAACAGGAGGGCTTTGCAGGTAGTACAGAGACCTGGGTGAGCGAGCAGGCTTGCTGCCTCAGGAGAGACTGCCATGGAGGGACTCGGGATACAAAACTGCTTTTGTAAACTCATAACATACAAAGTATCAGATCCCACGAGAAACCAGAGTGTATAACAATGTAACATATTCAGGACAACGGTTCACTGCTACAAGAATGCTTGGAACTCAAAACCAGGGAGAAGTAACTTTGTCACTCCGCCAGAGGAAAAATTCTCAGGGTTAGGAATCTCTGTTAACAAATGACTTCTGCAGAAATAGATAAAATCAGTTATAATTTAAGTGATAGTGAGAAGTATTCAACTGCTCATATTTTTATTTTTGCTGTTTGCTGTGGCTTTTACATGCACAATTTGAAGAAAAATTATTGGAAAGAACTGTCTCCAGTCAACACTTAACTGAGAGAAAAGCAAGGACTGATCTAACTGATCACTGTTCTACAAGCAATGCAGAATACTGAAGTAAGAAAAGCTGTTCTTTTGAAAGCTTTCAATTGCTGTCAAAGCTAATGCTCTGGAGGTTACTCACAAATTCCTCTGCAAATCAGGGCTCACTTTTAGGTTAAATCAGTGGTTCAGGATCTCAGGAGGAAGTGCTGGAAGCACAGCACCTGGTGGTGGCATTGCACAGAAAACGGGACAATTCCAAGCTCCCTTGTTCCTGCTCAGAACATCGACCTTATTAGCTGAGTGCAGAACATTCAGTTCCTGTACAGGCACAACTCGCCTTTCAAATGTGAAGCTTGGGGGAAATGGCATTTCTCCAATACAATGCAATTTAATCCAATACATTCTGGTCTGCTTTAGCCCAAATGAACTTATGTCTAGTTGCATTATTTTGATGCAAAACAAGAGGCAGAACTATTAATCTTGGAGAACATATTAAACACACCCACCTGCCCTTTTCACCAAGGACAAATATCCCCTCTCATGACTTCAATAAACACTTCAAGGTAACACACGGCATTACTTCAGAGAATTGTCTTTTTCAACAAACAACATTCAAAAAACAGCATTCTCAAAACCACAAAAAAAAAAAAAATCACAGAAGGAGATAACAGCAGTCCTTGGAAGAAGATCTTCCCACTTGAAGGTCTCCCATTCTCAGTGATTCATGCTATTTTCCAAAATCCTTTTATTTTTTTTTTTTTTCTTCAAACAGCATTTCAAACCTCTTTAGAAATGACAACCTGTTGGACTGCAAATGCACGCCCTGCTGTTTAGAAGCTGGTCTCAGGCAACTAAATCCCAACAAACCCAGAAAAATTGGATAAGTACACTCATCCCATTCATCTCAAATGGATGAGAGCTGTGAAGCTTAAAATGTGAGAATTTAAATTCCCGTATTTATTAGTCATATCAGCGATGACCACACAAGGCAGCATCTACTCTGAAGTACTTACAGCGATGGGATATTACGTCAGTAGGCACAGCAAACCTGGAGTGCCAAGGTGCAAACAACAGAATATTCCAGCAGCATTCTGGATAGCCTATCCTTCCTTAAACCCCACGTGGTGACAGCAACAGCTCTTGGCCACTAAGAGCTGATATGAACTGCTGCTTGACTTCTGCTCAGGCCTTCTGGACCCAAATGTTTCATCCTTTGTGGAAACTACAGTTTTCCACCAGAATTCTGATGGTGCTGCAGATCAGAAACAAAACCCATCTTTCCAAAGCATGAGTTGGACATTCAGCAAGTCCCTCAAGACACAACTACTTTGAACACATGGTTCTAGTTTCCTTTAAAGAGCACAATAGGCAGAAGCAGTGTCAAAGTACAAATACGAGGGATTCATTCTTTCTATCCCAGTTGTACCTTCTAAACATGACACTGCCAAAAGCAGACTCCTAATGTGACAGGTCTTGAAGTAAAAGGTACAGAAGCTGTACAATACATCTGGTTTGGGGAGGGAGGTGCTGTCAAGTATTATAATAATTATTCAAACATAAGCGCAGAAGTACACAACGCTTTACATGGGTTACACTTCCTGTTCCAAAGAGTATCAAATTTTATGTCCATACAACAGCCAAAACTTTTAATTTTGTGATCCTGCAGATGTCTCTAAAATTCTGACTCTTATCTGAGCAGCCCAGTGTCTATTTTCAGCAGCCTTTTGGAGCTGATAATACCTTTGGAAGCAAAATAAACTTTGATGCACATGCACTGTACTTGAGGAAATGCTGCTGCTTTAACGCATCCTAGAGAGGAGGAGAAGGATGCTACGAGGATGCACAGCAGACAAAAGCTCTTCCTGGAAAAGTGGATGGCTTTCTGCAAACAAAGATTGTGTGACAATTGTGTGGTTTGGTTATGGAGTGTCAAAACTCTGGCTTCAGCAGATGCTTCCACAGCACTCCCACACCATGAGTCACCTGGGACTGTTCTGGTTTCACATCATCCAGGAAATGCTTCATTCATGCTGAATTGGGTGAACAGGGAGGGCAGCAGATAGCTGTGCTCAGAGGAGTGGCATCACCAGGCAACATCCTTCATGAGGATATTCTAGGCTCAGATTTCTCTCATCAAGTAGTAGCTACAATAATTCTCTATTTTACTGATGGAAATTTCTGTATTCTGGACAGATTTTTTAAAGACTACCTTGAACACTGTAAGTGCATTTTTATTTTGTGAGGTGCAGTAAAAAAATCAGCATTTCTGTAGGACAAAAACATCAATTAAATCCACTTCTCAGGCAGAATTTGAGAAAAAAACAAGGAACTGGACAGATGAGGAGCAAGACCTGTCCTTCTGTAGCCATCTTGCACCAGCATGCTTGGGATTTTTTGCCTGAAGTGCAAACAGCTGAACTTGATTAGAATTTACATTTTCTGGATGATATTAAACCCAGATTAGTTTTAGCTACGTGTCATATTTGTGGCACTCTCGTGCTGCGATTTGCTGAGGGCGAGGAGAGCTACACCTGCCTTCTGTACGAGGTCAGAATCGATGAGCTGAGGTCCCAGCTCTGGAAACATCAAGGTACTGGAGCCACGATTTTGCAGCGCTGTTGCACTGAGCTCTTCCCAGTGCTGAAATCAAGTGCTTTGCTTTTGGTGCAGTGCAATAGAAAAACTTAACCTTCCCTCCCTTATTATTGCAACATTTTCAAGCTACAAAATAATGATAATCAACAGTATCTACAGATTCAGCTCTCGCAGAGACTGCCGCTAACAAATCCGAGCTGCTCTAAACCGGCAGGTCCAAGCCGAGCTGTAAGAGGCGAGGAGGGGGTATTCTGCCAGCACTACATTCTCCTCCCTTCCCTTTAAACCCCACCCCACCCCACCACCAGAGAAGTCAGCCCCCTTACCTGATAATATCATCGTTGTGCCCGAGGAAGAATTTCTGGCTGTGCTCCCTGGTGTTGTAAACCACGCCGACTCCAGCCACGAAGTACACCACCTCTTTCCCTGCCGTGTAGTACAGGTTGTTGCGGCACTGGTGGCCCCGGTAGCCGTACACCCACTCCAGCCGGAGCTGGCAGCGCGGAGCCGTCCGATCCGCCATGATAACCAGCCCCCTGCCCACCGGCACACACAGCCGAGCGCCGGCCCGCCTTCCCCCGGCACGCTCTCCCCTTCCGAACGGCGGCGATCCCCGCCCGCCTGCCGAAGCCTCAGGTGTCCCTTCTGCGCGGGGATGGGGATGGGGATG